GGTGTGTAGACAGGTCATAGGCTACTAGGATGTCTCGCGAGATCTTCTCTGGCAAGGGATCGAGTGAGACCGGGTTACCCGTTAATGAGAGTTGGCGTGTATGGACTATGGTGGAGGGGTGGCTTCGGCCCTGTGGTGGGTGAGGGGGTGGTGCTGAGGAATGGATCTGGTCTTGTGCTGACCGCTGACGTGGCTATCAAAGACCACCATCAGAAGCATGACGACTGAGTCACTCTCTTTCCTCTCTCATGGACGCGATTCCAACCCCCCCGATGTCTTCATCCATCCTCCCCTTGGACAAGACAAGGTCTCCAACCTCTTCCTCCTGAATGCCGGTTTTCGCTGCCTCCTTCGTTTCCTAGTATTTTATTGAGGCGGGTTTGTTGGCTCTATCCTCCCCCTCCTTTGTTTGCTCCGGTTTGTCCTTCTTTTTCAGTCAATAAATTGAATGATCACTTGCTTTCCCTTCTCTCCTCCCATGCATCTCTCCCTCGCACCCATCACGCCATCTTGCTCTAGAGTCACTTTGATCGGACTCTTGTTTGTCTTGGCAACACCTTCTTCCATCTTGCTCTAGAGTCACTTTGATCGGACTCTTGTTTGTCTTGGCAACACCTTCTTCCACTCTTCCGTGTGAGACGCTGTCATCGGTTACCTGACGCCGCGCGTCGACCCGAGACGAAGAGACAAGTTGGTTCGTGCCGAGCATCGTTTGTCCCAAGAGTCATCGTGTGCTGATCAGAGGATCTCAGCTGCTCCCGGCTCTGATCTCATTACTGCTCCTTGGGTCACTGAGCACTCGCTCACACAATGTATAACTCAAGATCTTGAATGTTTGATCGATCAGAGTTCGTTTCACTCTACTGCGTCTTACAACATTCAGTAACGAGCAGAACAGTCACATAGTGTAGCCGTTCTCTTTGGTTGCCGGGTCAGTTAACCCCACGTCTCTTGGTACTAACTTTAGTCTATTTCAAACCTAAATTCAGTTGAGTCAAGAAGGAAAAGTCAGGTGGGCAACTTGGTCAAATGAGTCAAATGATATATAGCTGCCTACTAGGCCTCTTGTCTTGAGAGACACCCAGAGGTCTTGCTCACGGGGGGGCGATGAGCTGAGAGGATGTGGTCATGAAGCTGGCCGGGCTCTAGTGACGTCTAGGTCATCATGGATGGAGATGAAGCTTGTTGCTAGGGGATCACCCGAGCGCTCTTAGACGCATGACCGTGACACGAGCAGCCTCGGTGAAGCCTCCAGCTGACAACCCTTGGTCTTGACCCCTACCAGGTCTGCTCCGAGGCCCTCGCCGTCGCCAGCTGACCCCTGGATTCAAGGGTGGATCGAGCTCAGGAGTACCGGTAGTCAGCTGAGACTGTCAGAGCTCATACAGCACCCGGGGGTGTAGAGTAGATAGAGCAGTGAGCTTGCCACGGTAGGATGCCTCGCGAGCCTCGGAGGCTGTTCTGAGCAAGAGGCTCAGTGAGACGGTGTAAAGACGAGGAGCCTCCGAGAGTCAGTCATGGCTCTATCGTAGTACCACTCTCTCTCTTGAACAACGCGTCACTCTATCGCTCAACCCCTTTTTTCGGTCGTTCTCCGTCCTAGGCTCTCTATGCCTTGAGTCCGGCTGTGACAGTGGCCACACGGTACGGCCCTCGACCTACGGCCACACTCCTGCTACTCTTTATCCGAGGGCCCGGTCAGCCGCACTCACTGTACCGTCACGTTGTCTTACGGTCCGATCTTCAGCCTCCGAGGCTCCGGTCACTGAGATCGCAGTAGATGACTTTAGTCAACCCTCAACGGTTTTCATCGGCAGCAGTGCGCCTCGGAACCGTTGCTCCAAGTTAGCGTCCACCCCTTGCTGGCTAGCGGAAACCTTGGGCTTCTGGGGGTGGGGGTAAATACATCAACAGGTAGGGTAGGCTGGTGTTGCTCACCCGTACCTGATAGGCTGAAACCATGGTGATAAGAGGGTGATATACGACTAGGGTAGGGATCCATGTAGAGGGGTGGTTGGGCGGGAAACATGGCAGGAGGATGAAGGGGAGAGCGGGAGGAGAGAGGGAGAGAGGATGGAAGGAGCTTGAGGAAGGATGACGACAAGCTTGTCATGTCGCTAGAGTGTGAGAGATGTCTTGTAGCTGCTGCAGAGAGAAGGAGACGTGACAACAGACAGAAGAAAGGAGAAGAGAGGAGGGAAAAGAAACGGCTAAAGGAAGGGATGAAACGTGACGAATACCAAGAGGAGAGAGGAAACCTTCTCTGTCTGCTTGATTAATGTGTTTTCGGCATTCTTACTTCCTCTCCTGCTGTGTCAAGGAAGGATGGAGAAGCTTGCTCTCTTGATCTCCTTATTTCTTTCTTTCTCCTTGTCTTTTCTTCCCTCGCTGTCTTTTTTCCCTCTCTCTACGGTCAGTCACTGAAAGGGAGAAAGGAGACGGCGTGGGAGAAGGAGGCAGAGTCGGAAGCAGGGCAGAGCTTCGAGAGAGAATAAGGCATGCATGGATAAGTGAGCAAGAGAGGGGAAGTCAGAATGAGTGATAGGTCGTATCATCAAGAATAGATGGCATTTGTTGAGGTGAATACTTGATAAGCTCTTGAAAAGCAGGCGACTGATACGCTCTTGGAGTTGCAGTTGCAGGCAGTAGGATCAGAGTGTATAGACAAAAAGCCTCAGGTGTACAACACGAAGCTGTGCTGCTCTGTAATCCGATCGTTGTGCTGTAAACCGAACCACAAACAGAGGAACATCCAAGACAGAGAGACATAAGACGAGGGAGGGAGAGAGTGGTGGAGGACAGAGGATATCTGAAGCCGGCTGATGCAAGCTCCTGTAGCAGGTTTCTCCCTGGGCTGAGAAACATAAATGAGTTGCTTCCCCTGCTTCTCGTCCAAAGTGAAGCCCGAACAGGAGGGTCATGATGACTCGTTACTCAAGCAGAGGTTGGAAGAAGCGACAAGAAGGATCTCAGAGCTCGAGGCCGAGCTGAGAAAGCAGACTGTCAAAGATCCCCCAGCCCCTCAAGGAGGCGTAGAGACCATCCCGTCAAGCATCTCCAGCCCTACGACTCAGCCATCAAACAAGACAGACATCGAGATCAAATCTCAAATGAGCCATCCCACGGCTGATCCACCAGCTAGTGCCCAGCAGACGACCAGCTGGACTATCCCCGACGACATCAGCTCTGACCTCAAGAAGCTCTTTCAGACCCCTCGAGACTCAAAGGAATACAAAACGATTCTCAACAACCTCCGCATGGCTCTCGGCGTCGACGCGTCGGCCCTCAGCCCTGACAAGCTCTCGTACGACGACTACGAGGTCAGAGTCGCAAGAGAGTGGGAGCTCGAGCGCAAGGCCAGCAGCCTCGGCGACCTCAACATCCTCCGAGTCATGGCGGAGTGCATCCCCGGCGGGAGCGCGGCGAGTCCTCTTGCGGGGCTACAGGGGATGACGGAGAGCGCTCTATCGGCTCTATGGCAGACGGCGATAGGGAGGAGGGTCGAGGAGGCGCTGAGGAGGCCGGCGGAGGCAGGAGGGCGGGCGGGAGGAGACGGTGCGACGTCGCACAACAGCAAGTTCGCGGAGGTACGCGAGGCCGTGTACGGGAAGATCGAGGAGTAGTAGGGGGGGCTGATGGAGCGGATCGGGCTACCTCAGACGGAGCTGATGAAGGCGATAGAGGAGGAGCACTGCAAGGGCAAGGACGCGGAGGAAGCGTTCACGACAAGCAACTACAACATCACGACGACAGCCAAGGAGGAGTGGCTCAACGTCACAGACCCGGAGAGGAGGCGGAGGCTGTCGGACGGGACGCGGGTGATCCGAGGGATGGAGGAGCTGAAGGGGCTGGACACGGCGATCAAGGCGGGGCTACAGGAGGCGGAGCTGATCGCGCTGCAGCTCTACACAGGTAAGAGAGAGAGATAGCGAGAGAGGGAGAAGGAGGATGGGGGAGAAGAGAGGAGCAAGAGAGCGTGAGATGGCTGACAAGAGGCTTGCTATGACAGGGCCGATGTACTTCAAGTACAACTCTGTTCTTCGAGCTCCCAACGAGCTCCTCCGAGACTCCAACAAGGTCCCAACAAGTACACGACAACCATCCACTGCATCGTCAGCGGCATCGTCAAGCTGTCTCGTCACACGCCTCTGCCGGAGGGGCTGCGGGTGTGGAGGGGGCTGAAGGGGATGAGGCTGCCGGAGAGCTTCCTCAACGAGGACAAGCTCGGGGTGTCCGGAGGAGTCGAGTACGGGCTGCTGAGCACGACGACAGACGTCAGGACGGCGATGCAGTACGCCGGGGAGGAGGGAGAGTCGATCGTGTTCGAGATCAGCTGCGGGGCGATCGACCGGGGGGCGAGCTTGACGTTTGTGTCTCAGTATCCGGGGGAGGGGGAGATGTTGTATCCGCCGCTGTCGTACCTGGAGGTGGTGAAGACGCCGCGGTACAGGGAGGTAGAGGGGAGGCGGGTGAAGGTGCTGGAGCTAAAGATCAACGCGAACACGATGAGCTTGACGATCGAGGACTTTGTGGGGAAGAGGAAGCAGCTGTACGTAGGGCTGATGGAGAACCTGGCGAGGGAGGTAGAGCGAGACGTGAGGGGGTGGGAAGGGAGGATCCAGGAGCGTCTGAAAACAGCACCGGCTGACTCAATCAATAACCTTCATCTACGTCTTGTACAATCGATCGTGGAGGAGTGCTGGGGGCTGGTGGAGGCGAGCAGGGCGAGGGAGTCGGGTTGGTACAACGACGAGTCAAGATACAAGGAGGCGATCGAGCTGTCGAACCGAGTCAAGGACATGGCGATCAACAAGCTCAGGCACTGGATCGAAGACACTCAGGGAGACTGGGAATGTCAAGCCCTTGCGGGCGATCCGATGCAGTCAGTGTACTGGAGGACGATGGCGGGTTTGATGTACGAGATCAGCTCGCGGACTCCAGCAGGCGATGACGGCAGACGAGAGCAGAGCAAGAGGCTGTGCGGGATGTACGGCTTGTCGATGTCAAGGTCGGACCAGCACGGGGAGCCGCCGACAGTGACGGCGGTGGTACGAGGACAGGGGGCGCTGATCGGGCTGCTGAAGGCGGCCGAATGCGACATGGACGAGCGGATGGAGGATGGGAGGACAGGGCTGCATGTAGCAGGGATGCTGGGGAGGGGGGGGAGCGTGAGGGAGCTGATAGAGGCAGGAGCAGACGTGGGAGCGAAGGACAAGGCAGGGAGGACGATGGTGCACTGGGCGGGGGAGTATGGGCATGTGGAGGTGCTGAAGACGGTAGAGGAACAATGCGGGAAAGAGAAGTTGAAAAACATTATGGTGGAACCCGACATGTCTGGAAAAACATGCGCGCATGGGGCAAGCCTGGGAGGGCACTTGGAGGTGCTGCGGTATGTTGTAGAGACATGCGGGGAGGAGGTGCTGAGACAGAAAGATGATGTCGGCCAGACATGCGCGCACTATGCGGGTGATGGAGGGCAGCTGGAGGTATTTCGATACATGGCAGAGACATGCGGGGAGGAGGTGCTGAGGGAGAAGTCCAATGAGGGCTGGACATGCGCGAATGCGGCGAGTAGAGGAGGGTTCTTGGAGATTGTACAGTACCTTGCAGCGACATGCGGGGAGGAGTTTCTTAGAGAGAAGTCCAATAACGGCAAGACGTGCGCGCACTATGCGAGTAGGGGAGGGCACTTGGAGGTACTTCGGTATTTGGCGGAGAGATGCGGGGAGGGGCTACTGAGGGAGAAGGACAATGACGGCAACACCTGTGCACATGAGGCGAGTAACAGAGGGTACTTGGAGGTGCTCAGGTACTTTGCGGAGAGATGCGGGGAGGAGCTGCTGAGAGAGAAGGACAAGAACGGCCAGTCCGTGCGCTTGCGTTTAGCTCGTGGCTCAGATGTCAAAGGATTACCTTAACAAAGTTTATGTATAGAGTAGTCAAAGACTGAGCCAACAAAATGCTGTAATCCTATTCGGTCCCATACCCCTATACCCCCGGCCTTATCCTCTCCAAGTCCACCCCATCACCCTTGAGTCCTCCCCATCTCGAGCAAGGTCGACATGTCAGCCAGGTAGAATACTTGTCGAGCGGTTCCACTCTAAGAAACTGCAAGAGAGACTGGATATCGTCCACATCATTCTGCAATGGCGTTGCTGTCAAACACCACCGGTTGATGGCCGTCAGTTGCAGACAAGCTCGATGACTTCTTGTTTTCCTGTTCTTGATCCAATGCGCTTCATCGAGGATCACTCGCCACCATCTCATGTCGAAGATGCCGATGCTCTCGTTGCCGATGAGTCTTGTTTGGATGATGGTCGTCCTGTATGATACAAGAGTGATGAAAGATGATGTCTTGTTTCGATAATCGTCGTCCTGTGCAACACAAGAGTGATGAAAGATGATGTTTCGATGATCGTCGTCCTGTACAACACAAGAGTGATGAAAGATGATAGGATCCACATGCAAACTCACCGTCCTTCTTGACACGTGTTGCACTGCGACGCAAGAGCCATCTTTGATAAAGATTCCTCAAGGCCTCATAGCTTGTAACAACAACATCGTAATCAGACAGACTGCGTGAGGACACGTTGTAACTTCTTTGCGGGTACTTCGAGTGGAGTATCGTCGTGGTCATCTTGCCATCCTCAATGTGCCTTTCGATCTGCGAGTCCCAGCTGGTCAAGACAGAGACCGGGCAGACAATCAGTGTCTTTGCTCGCTCGCACCCACTTTCAGCCTTGTCAGCTCGGAGAGCGCGATCGGGATCGTTGGACAGGATGAGAGACAGGACCTGTATTGTCTTGCCTGTTGGAACCGCATCACATCATTTGAAGGGTACAATTTCTCAGCTGGCAGCTCACCCAATCCCATATCATCTGCGAGAATTCCTCCCAAGATAGGTTCAGGTCGTGAGGCCCTCCGGACTTTTGCGATCTCGCTCTCCTAGTGAGATCTCCCTCCATTCGCCGTCACTTTCCTCCAGAGAGCCCAGTGAACGAGCTCGTCCGTGCTGGAATGATTGCTGACCTTGTCAGGTTTGAGGTGGCTGTGGAGGTTGTTCCTGTTCCCATCGCTATCGATCAGGTTGCAGTCTTGTTTGTTCAGTGATGCGTTTGTACAAGTGCTCACGGTTGCGTCTTCTCCTCCTTCCCCATCTTGTTGACATTCTCTACTCACCATCCAGTTGATCCCTCGCAGCTGGTAATCGTACAGAGTGGTTCGTAGCCCGAGGGTCCGCAATGTTTCCATGTGGACAAGCGAGAGATTGAAGGAGCTCATAACCTTCTGCAAATCATCAATGATACCCTCCAGCGACTCTTGTGAGTTCTGTACAGTCCCCGCTGTCCGGTTGATCACGATTGGGGCGTCAGAGGTACCTTGGGTAACATTCACTGAGGTGAAGGGAGAGGTACCTTGGGTAACATTCACTGAGGTGAAGGGTAGTCCCGACCGTCTCAAGGCCTTGATCGCCCTTCCTCCAACATTACTCCCTCCTGACAGTCTGACGTCGCAATGCCACACCCCCTTGCTCTCCTTCCCGTCGTTGCGATCCTCCCCTTGCAAACTCTCGTTTTCTTGAGCGAGGAGGAGGTGGTGGAGGAGTAGGAAGGAGGAGTAGGAGGGAGGAAAAGGAGGAGGAGGGAGGAAGGAGGAGCGGGAGGAGGAGGAGGAGGAGGAGGAAGGAGGAGGAAGGAAAGCTATCGAAGTAGCAGAGAGGAGCAACCCAAAGGGAGATGCCAAGGAAGAGAGGGAGGATGAACCGTCACAAGGGCTGCCAGCACCAGCATGCGAAGGGCAGCTGAAGGAGAGTGCAAATCG